GCCATTGCAGACGGCCTTCACACACATTCCTCGACCTCTCACCTTCACAACCTGTTTCCACACGAACTACTTTAATGTTATCCTATCACCTCGTCCCGCATCTTCCAAAAAATCACCCTCCCCCCCAATCAAAAAGAAAATTAATGTCTGGCACTTTCTTTTAACAGCAGCGACTTTGAGACAAACAAAATAATCATTATTTGAGCTATAAAATAAAAATATGCTCCGTGACCACGGCTGTCAGGCTAACTTACACCGAACACGTGACCAGGCAGCTCTCTGCAGTATTCTAGCTTGTCGGCTTGTGCTCCTCAAGGACCGACCGATAAGCCATCTTACCTGCACGCACAGACGCACTACAGCCTCCTGAATGCGCCGAGATTAATAACTTGTCGCAGAGAATTTGTATGTTTTATCTCCTCGTGTCGAACCACTCCGTCGCGGTACCAGGAAACGCCACTTTTTAGACTTCTCTGGTACGTAATAAAGATAAAGCAGTGTAGAAGTGTCAGGAGCTTAGATTTTTTTCATTTAACGACGCTTCAAACGGTGTTCGGAATGAAATGAGAAGGATGTGGATGAACGTTTTGCGGTTTTTCCAAAGATATGCTTCGAGGATCTGGGGAAGACCGCGGTAAAGATGTGATTTTCAACGTCCTGGCGAAGATCCTAAACTGGGAACCCCAAATAAGAGGCTGTTAATCACTCAACGGTAAACTTCGGTTTAAAATAATTTGACCCTGACTTTTAAAAAATATAAGCTTAGCAACCGTGGTGACAGAAATAACAGTTTCCAAGGTTTCCCGGGTTTCCACACCCACTCACATCGGCGAGCACCATTTTTGTCCGATTTCAACCAAACAGTGGGATTTATGAACAATTTTTCTCTCTCTCTTTTTTAAGTGCCCAACAGCAAATTTAAAGGAAAAATCCGCTTGTAAGTTCTCGAATTTTTGCGTGCGTGCGTACGGACAGACAGAAAGGCGGCGCTATTTAATTAGGTGCTCAGCAGGGATTCGAACCCACCAACAAACTCAATGTCTTGTCTGCTGTACAACAAATAAAGACAAAACCCACTTAACCTAACGGGACCTAAGAAGTAATGAACTTGCATTTCCTTTGCATGACCGTGGGCTCACAACAGACTCCAAAATTTCGTTTCAGCCCGCCTTTTTAAAAAAATGGACAATGCCCCATAAACACATTCCCTCAGGACTAAGCCCTAGAACTACCAAGCAATTATACGACATTCGGGACTTGCATTTCCGGACTCCGGTGACGGACGTAAGACAGCGCACAGAATGTATTTTGCGCGGCGGGTCGATTATACACCGGAACCGGAACGATCAATTCATTTGCGTGCAGTTTCCACTAGTACGAGTTCTGTTTTCTCAGATTTAACTTGAAACTCCCGCATCACTGGCGTTACTGTTGTGTCGCCTCAGCGGTTAGCAAGGCCGCCATGTTAGTATTACAGATGTTAAAATTACAGCGTACAAAGTTGGTTCAAAGTGTATAATGAGCAGTGCTACTGACAACATGTCGACGTCGACGTCAACGCTGACTGGGCCGAATTTTTCTCGTGTTAATTTCCATCCCAGTTACAGCAACGTTATTACGGACCATCGGCACACACATTCACTTGTCATGTCAGGGAATGTGTGATTACAGTAATGGTCGCGAAACTGAATGGACTGCCTCAGGAAACGAAGTTGTGAATGAGGCTGGACCGCTGAATGCAAATAAATGTCGATTTGAATGCAGCATCATCCACTTTGATTACGTCTTGCGAGGTGCTTCAAGATTTCAATAAATAACAGCATTGCCACTGGCAAAACGAATTGTAAAAGTCGGAACGTTCTCGCCTCGGCGGTAGCACTAGATGCATATATTTAATTCTATTAGAGAGATTGCACAATGGCGTGAAAAGGTTTTCTTACTTCGAAAATAAACGCCCGATGCACACGTACTCAATACCAGGAAGTCTGGGGCGGTCAGACTCCAAGTTCTCACGGCGGCGAGTATGAACATCATTTCCTCCTGGGCTGCTCTGTCATGTAGTGCAGTAGAAGTCTACCGACGTTTCAGAGGCGCTTGCCGCCTCTGTAGTCAAGGCGACTCATAGCAGAAGACAGCCACTTCTGAGTAGGCCAGTATGTAAACTGAGTGGCTAATATCTAAACGGAATTTCGACTGCCGACAAGAACAGGCATCCGGAGCAGACTGAGATGACTTCCACGCCCTATTCCTCTAGGGTCCATTTTAATATTATTCCCCAAACTACACCTAGTAAGCTGCTTCGCCGCTTCAGATTCGTCCATTAACATGTCTTACCTTCTATTTCTATAATGAATATCTCATCTTCCTTGATTTCGTCAGCCTAATATTAGTAGCATGTAATTTTCTACGTCCTACTGCCTACATCCTCCTCCTTACGTTTAAATATCTCCTTGGTCTTTCTTCCGAGACACTTTCAATTTATGTTCTTCAGTAATTAAACAGAGCTTGATAATAACACGTGGCTTTCTCCAAGGAATCAGAGGCCTAAGTCATAAAATCCATTTTTCCAGGACAGAAAGCGTAAGTAAAAAGTTGCCTAAAACACGTGCTTCGATGTAAGCATAATGCTTCATTAGCGGAGCTAATTCTGGAATACCAGTTTAGTCGACAGAGGATCATAATATCAGAGAGCTGTAAAAAATAAGACACTTAAAATATTTGAGTTCCGTCCCTCTAAACCAACAGCCCAGACATTTACGTGCTGGTTCTGTGACTTTTACAGCCCCAGACTGTCCACAGAATTGGTTTCTACTCACAACCACAGGCTCTTCCTCGTGTAACGGTATTAACACATTCAACATTCCTTGAATTCTAAATTTTATGTTTACTGAATATCGTAACGAGGAACTTCATAATTTGTGGTCTTCAACAAATATTATTCGGGTGATAAATTCAAGGAGGTTGATGTGGGAGGGGAAGGTGAGAAATACACACACAGTTTTAGTCGAGAAACCTGAAAGGAAAAAAATACAGTTGGCGAACTTTGGCACAGATAGGAGGATAATATTAAAAAGCACTTTAAGGAGACGGTTAGTAAGGGTGTAGACTGGATTAATCTGGCTCTGCATGTGGAACACGTTCAGAATTTTGTGAACACGGTAATGGGCCAAGGACTTTCATGTTTTATTCTGGAACTTGTAAAATATTATTTACTGTTAATTTAGCAACGCTATTTCAACTGCAAAGATTGTGGCGGGATGATCACTTATCTCAGATAGGTAACGGTACCGAGACTGAGTAAAAGCACGGAAAAATCAACTGTTCATACTGTCGCTCTTAGTTCTCGTAAAATGTATTTTTATAAAATACGCTTGTTATAAATCTAAATCTAAACGCAGAGGGAATGACTTACATGTTCGATAATCCAATTTCCAACCCTTAGTTGACGTTGAAACGTTAGTTTCAACGTCAACATACTAAGAGCGCCTGTTGCTTTTGGACAACAAATCTTTCACGCCTGTTTATACGCCGAGAAAATAATTAGACTTCTTAGTATCCCACCAATAATTTATCTGACAGCCGTCCTGCAGCGCCTATAAACTCGTGCTAAATGTCTGATTAAACTTCCTTCGAGATCAAACCTTCTGATTAAAGCCCATTTATATCATGAAACGACCGTAAGCCGAAGGTAAGGAATCAGTTACATCACTGCAGTTGTAAATCGGCTTTCAAATCTCAGAGAATAAACATCTGTAAATCGGGCAGGCAGAGCTGGAACGCCGGCCAGCAGGCATGCAACTTGTGTTGGAACGGCGACGAACTAGAACTGCGTCTACAGGGCGGTAAGATCTAAAAATGGCGGTAATTATCGCTGTTTGGCCTGCGGATGGCTCTCAGCGAAATGAAGCCACGCACACTAAACACGAAAATATCATTCACGAAGTTTGGTCTTTAATCTACGTTCTAGATCCCTGATTTGATCCTTTAGACGAGTTACCCTAATTCTGCCCGCCTTTGAGTGAATCCCGAGGAAATATTACGTATATTATTGGCATCTTCAGATTCATCTCTTTTATGAGCGGGCTTCTGACTTCATGAGTCATTTCATCGTCGTGCTCTTAGCTCAGGGCATCGCTGGCCACCCTCGCGTGTCTCCCCCATGCCTTGGTATGCGAGCCGCAGTAATGAACCGACAGGCTGTCGCCCACATCACCACAATTACCATAGCAACCCATTGTTGTTCGGTTGTCATGCAGCCCAGATAACATTACAACGGTCGAGGGAACACGTCGGACACAATAACACAAGCCAAGAGATGGCGGGAGAGGGCAACAAGTTAGGTCCTCGACAACATTTCGATACTTCCCGATTCGTGCGGTAGCCTAGCTTACGCCTGGACGAAACTGGTTAATAATTTCGAAGTATATCACGTCAAGGCGGTTAGAACGCTGGCCTTGTAATCCTGGGGTCTCGGGTTCGATTCCCGGCGGTGCCCGAATTTATAACTTGTGTTGGGCAAGGCCGTGGTCTAGGCAACACGGAGTTTTCCTCCGTGGCATCCCAACAATTACTCCATTCACACACAGAAGAAGGCAATGGCAAACCACTTCTGGATCATCTGCCAAGAACGTATATGAACAGGTTCCAGTCCGATAAAAGGATGGAAGGATCCTGTTCATATGGACCTGTCGTCAGACAGAACACTACAAATAAATAAATATCACGTCATCAACGGTTGGACGGACCATTCGGGGTGCTTGTGTCTCTACTCAGTATTTAAGAGGTCTCCGGTGCGAATCTCGGTCTCAAGGTTTTGCAAAATGAGACATTCGTTTAATGAACTCTATAAAGCTGCATTTCAGCTTCATGTAAAGTATGGCTACAGCTGGACAGACGCTAACCAAAACTGAATCGACCTTTCAAATTTTTGTTGAGATTCCCAAAACCACATTTAGTCGAAATTCGTTGACGTGCAGTGAGCACGTAGCGAGTTGACTCACCGATCTCTCTGAAGGGGGCCAACTGTTGCCAGCACGTGATGAGGCTGCACGACCCCGACACCCCGTGACACTTGCACGTCACCCTCGACTTCTTGATCACCGCCTGCAAGCACCCGAACACAAATCACATCAGCGGAAGCCTGGCATCTCACCTCATAGACGGCAATCATAGGGCCAATTGACAGAAATGGTTTTAGCAAACAAAGAACGTTCTTTAGAACACCATCGCTCACCCCGCGCCCCACTTTCCTGCTCCGGGGTTTACACACACACACACACACACACACACACACACACACACACACACACACACACAAACGATGTAAGCCCCTGGGACCTGAGGTTCTCAGGGCATCGAAATTGTCGGCTGTGTTTGCAATGCGTCCTATTTATTGCACGTGTTTGGTTAGCATTTCATCCCTGCATAAGATGAAGGCGGCACGTTCCTTAGAACCGCTGATAACCATCTACAACACATCACAGCCAGGCTACCGCGAGCTACAATGTAAGCTGTTGAATAACAACGCTTCCATGGGGACGACATTGTTCTTCACGCAGGGCCAACGCTAAGAACTCGTTAAGTTTTGCCACCAACTACTCTGGAGACAGAGACGACAGGTTCTTCCGAAACGTTACTAACCACTTACAAGGCTCCGCGGTAACTACAGGCTCGTGGACGTGAGAGCCTCAAATCTTAAGAGTAGGTTAGGAGGGTAGCCGGAGACGGCCTGGATGCAAGGGGCAAACAGGAAGATCCTGTTCTGCCCTACCTGGAATCGAATCCCGACTCTTCAAGTCCATAGCTTGCCGGTTGACTGCCGACAATATCGGTAAAAGAAAAATCTGAAGGCAATGAAAATTTTCTGCAAAGTAAACGTAACTGGCATGAACGTAAGATATCTGTTTTTTAGGGAACAATTTGTACAAGTCTTTGACAAACTGACCGAACTGAGCAAAAAGTTTCAAAGGACAGAGATGACACGAATTTCCGAAGGACGAAAATTAGCCTAAAATATTCTTCAAGTCTGTGAAACACAAAACAGGCACGGTGCAGTGGACAAACAAAAAGGCTACAGCAGCAGGCTTGTTTGACTGAAATGGTCGAAAATTAGCACGGCCAATGTCTATTACAAAACGCGACGTACGAATACAACACTGAAACCCGACCGCGGAGATCTGCGTTGTGCCAAAGAGCACGGACGGACACGATTTGCCATTACTGTGGGAACTGCCTATACCAGCAACATCCTTCAGTCTGCGTAGTGTCTGTAAGTACGGTCGAAGCGAAGATAATAAAAGTAGCTTTGTGAATTTAACACAGTATGGGTACACTACGCTTCGAAAAATTCCCCCCTCCGTGCGGTAAATGGATTGAGCAAGTTTACATAATCAATACCCCCTTTCTCTCTGTAAAGTCATCAAGTTCAGTGACTTCAAGAAGATGAGTGGCGCATGGGGTGAACCCCACTCTACTTAAATTCTCGTTCCTACTCGGATCAGTTCAAGTGCAATCACTCTTCGAATTGACAAACTTGTTTCCGTATCTCACAATCGCCTCCCCTCCCCTCCCGCACTATTCTGCAAGCTGCACTCACAAAGGGCTGTCGAGATTAAATGCAATTACTAAGCGAAGTTCGGGTTATGGTGCAGAGATTAGCTCTGTCGAGAAACAGACAGGGACACTTCAGTGTGTATAGCTCGGAGGTGTATTGCATATTCTGTTTAGTTAATGGAAGGCAAAGTAGTTGAACTGGATTCGGACAACAGATCTGAGCAACGCCACGTGGACCTGACGCATGCATGTGACAACATGACTTTGTGCAGCACATGGACGGACGGACGGACGGACGGACGAAGGGAAGAGGCACGCAGAAGAAAACGAAGGAGAAGGAAAGAATTTGGTGAGATAAAAAGACGGGTTTTATGCGAGCACGGTGTAGGAACTTCGGGCTCCATAAAAGCAAGAATTTCTTGATCACCTGAAGAACTGTCGGTTGTTATGATTACCGTTGCTGTAGAAGCAAAAGTACTTACACAAAGGTTTATCTGCATTTTACTTCTTAGCAACGAAGGAACACGCCAAGTAATCCCGCTGTTTCGACATTCGTTGAGCGGCGTCGTATTAATTACATATCCTGACAATGAAGTTATCTGGATGCCCGCCTCTCCTCCCTATCTCCCCGAATTACCTTCCATCTGCGGGCTGCAGCATCCCTCCAGCAAGCTCACGTGTTCCGGGCGACAAAGCAGTACGCAGTTCCAATCCCTCGTGAGGGGGATTTCTTTTGGCGATGTTGGCAGCCACTAAATATTCCATTGCGAACGTAATTAGAGCACAAACGAAGAGGCCCGCCACAGCACACAGGGCAGGAGCAGCCGAATTTCAGCTGTGCCGCCGAGATAAGGCGTACGGAAGACTACGGGGTGGTTGGGGGGAGGGGGGGTCCCCCGGAAGAAAGGTGACAGTCGGGTCCCAGTGCGCTGTCTTTTGTTTTATTCCACTTAATTTCAGGACAACGTATCGACCGCAGAGGTTCTGATGCACCGAACACAATGTGGCGAATCACTGATTTCACGACGCTTTCTCAACTGCTGACGCTGCACAGAAAATCCAGTAAAGTTGTTGTATGTGGGCCAAGTGACCTGAGTTCGATTGCTGGCAGAGGCAGGAATTCCCACTCTTCTTCGAGACCGGCTCTGCATCCCAGTTGACATGAAGCTGGAGTTGACCTCCGGTGCCAAGATGAAGAACGCGTGGAGCCTAACCTCCGTACCTTGTTCCGTGGTGCTTAAGCATTTGTTGGCAGTAAGTCAGCCAGCCAGACAGAAGAGAATAAGTATCGGGAGAACCGACCACATCGGCTGCCTTAGCACCAGCCACCACGTGCGAGGCAGCACAGAAGAATCGCATCACCGCATTGGATCTCTTTCGTTTGTTAATCAGTCAGTCAGTCAGTCAGTCGGGCTCCTGCTTCTTCGCGTAATCCCATACACGCGACTGCGACATCTTAAAGAAGTGGAACTACTGGCCGAGGGAGCCGACGGAACTCTTCTGTACCAGGGATGTCTAAATTCAATAGCAGTGAACACACACACAGATGAGTTACATCCTTCGCGGTTTGACCTTGATGAGAACTTTTGTTGTTGCAGACAAATCTGTTGTCGTAAACCTTATATTTCGTTACATGTCCGAAATACAAGTTTATTTAACGATGCTGAGATTACGTAGAGTTCAGTGAGAGGATGATAAATGCATCGGAAAATACATGGAAGGAAGTGGTCATCATTTCATTTGAGGCAACATTACGTCTTACGTTTATGAAAACTGTATAGGCATTACACACCCCTGGTCAGTGCCACTGTTCTGTCTGGCACACAAAGCCTTCTCCTAGAAGGGTTGGGGCATCCTTCCAGCAAGATATTCTTTAGAAAGTCTCCACGTTGACAACATGGCCGAGACCTGGGAGGTCTTCCTACAGGCCCTTGATGTCTCCTTCATAGGTCCACATGCATTATGCATAAAACTCTTTTATTTCCGAAGCAGGAAACTTTACAGCACGAGATGGGTAAACTAGAAACATCGCTTCCGAAGCAGGAAACTTTACAGCACGAGGTGAGTAAACCAGAAACATCGCCAGTGACGTTGTACCAACAAGTACAAACACTGGAGCAAGGTGACGGGCAGCAAGTGCGTCCACAAACACTGCACGCGCACATTTGTATACAATGGGAACCAACATGAGGGACGCCAAACCAAATGCCTCTTAATATGTGTACATACAACAAATGCATAACTCAAACAATAAAACAGTGTGTTTTGGAAGTCTGGAATGCTATTTGCTTTATAATGTCACGTTCCTATTACGGAATGTTCTGGTCCCAGTCTGTGCTCAGAGACCAGTTATCCTGACCGACGTTTTCCTCAGTCTCCAGTCATTCTTTTCTTTTTGATTGGTTCTTAGGTACAATTCATAGTGGCGCTTAATGCTAATAAGCACCTGCAAAAGAAAACAATTTCACAGTCAAGATGACCTCGACCGATCGACTGAGCAACTCAACAGAGAAGTGGCCTCGAAGGGCAGCTCCTCCGACACATATTCTGCAGTTACGTGATTTTTCTCAATCCCTCTAGAAATATTAGCCAGTATTAAAATACACCACGGCCAAACATTTTACAATTCTCTCAATTTTCACAGTAAGTTTATCATTCCCTTGACTCGATCGACGTTTAATAATCTGTGTACTTGGTGCAGCATCGTTACATAATCTACCACCACCTGCCATAAAAGACTGACACGTCAAGCGACTAACAAACAAACTAAAACTGGACAACTGGAAAATTAACAGCCTGACAAACTGGCATCATGCAATGACGGTCTCTAATATTTTTCGATTTTAATAAAATGTGTAACTTTTTGAAAGATTTTTGAATCGCACCCAGTAGTTGTCTAACTGAAATACGAGGATGGACGCATTACGTACCTTGTGGTCTAACCAATTCTTCGCGATAAAGTATACATACGACAACAGAGATGTCTATTTGCAAACTCCGGTCTGACCCATTCAGGGAGTCTGGAAAATTCCGGGTAATTCGCTGTAGGTCCTGTTAGCGCCCATAGTCAAAGCGGCCCACAATGCAAATCCAATCATAATTCATGGCTGGATCCTCTATTGTCGGCTTTAACAAAACACCGCGAATAGGGACCGGGCAGACCACGCGGCAAATAAAGACGCATCTGATGACAGCGGGCCATATATTACACGGCAGGGTGGATGGCGAAGACAGCCATGACAAAAGCTTCGCCTCTGGACACGACACGCGCCAACACACCGCCCTGAACACTCGACGACGGAGTTTCCGCAAAACGATGAGACGCCGATAGCATTCGCCATCGTGGGATTCGCGGAGCCACACTCAAGATGCGAGTGACACTGGGAACGAGACATTCGGAGCGCCGTCCCAACTCTGTTTCCTGCGTTCGGAGGCCAAAAAAGGAAATAAAACTGAGCGCCGAACGTCCTTCACGCCTTAGCCTCCAGGGAGGCAACGAGGACAAAGACGCGAACAGAAAACACAAACACTATCTTCTGTCACGAAGATTTTATGCGTGCACATTCCCAAATTAGTGAGTGAACACCTGCAATACATTATTTATGCTCCTTACACCGAACACGTGTTGAAATTAAGCTTAAGTCATGAAACACTGAGCACCCGTTCAAAACAGGAAACTCGAGCGCAATGGTCCGTGCCCTTTTTCGTGAAAGGGTTCGCAGATACTTCGGAACACTATCAAAATTCAGATTAACCCTTCAGAGCATAGTAGTAACTGTGCTTAAATGCTAAATGACTATGAATGTCGCCCACAAAGTGTAGGCTATTAACGGGCTTCACATGATTTTTAGAATAAACAGCGATTATTTCCTAGATCATCATTAACCAAAATTGATCTCTGGTATTTAGAAGCGTCAGGTTTTATCTGCGTCTAACCTGACTAATGTTCGAGGCAAATGGCAGAATTTCAAGCCACTGGTGATGGAGCCTCAATATTTATTCCAGTATTATAAATAGAACGGCTTGTAGGTATTTAGAAGCGTCAGGTTTTATCTGCGTCTAACCTGACTAATGTTCGAGGCAAATGGCAGAATTTCAAGCCACTGGTGATGGAGCCTCAATATTTATTCCAGTATTATAAATAGAACGGCTTGTAACTCATTACCGAAACTGTCCCCGGCGGATCAGCGAAGGGACTTCAAATCCCTCGGTTCGATAGAGGACAAACTCGAAGAATGTTTCACAGAATTGGTTGTTATTTCATAAAATATTAGATGGAAGTGTTACAGGGTGTCCGCATATTTGGACAGACGCCTGCATGTTCAGTTAAACGGACTTTCAATGTATTTTTGTACCTGAAATATTCATCAATTAAACCAGTGCCCGTCGACTTCTCTTAACCTTCACGATACTATTATCGAACAGCGTCTCCTTTTCCCGTTGGTTGAGTGCAAAAACAAAACACAGAACATCGGTCAAATGCATTCAATTATTCCCCTGATGTAGCCCATTCTGTTTGTCAACAACTAAGCCATCCTATATTTTTGTTGAACAGAGTTCTGTATTCTTACACACACTGTGGAAACACTTATGAATCGCTGGTTATCGTTTCAGCGTTCGTCTCCATTATAAACAACATAAAATAACACTCTAAGGAACCAAGGGAATCAAATCCTATTATTTCGGTTCAGTGACTTTCTAAAAACTTCCACAGGAGATTGTAGCTGCGTCCAGCCATCGTTTTGAAAATGCCACCGCCGAAGACAAATGATCCTCCAACCCTTTAGTTGGTGATAAACGGTAAATCACTATGCAGAAGGGGAACAACTGAATAAAAGGGACTTTAATTAGGTGTGACACACAGATAGTTCACCTTGACATAGGAGCCCGTCCACACATAACATCTCCAACTCTTTAGAGCCCTTGTCTCTATCTGCAGTTTCATCTCTCTCTGTCTCTCTTCCGTCGTCAGATTGCTGCCGGCGGTAATGATTAACATGAAACACTCAGCAGGCAAGAACTGACTAAGTCACCAAATACGCTTCGTTGAATGTACGTACGATCGAATGTCGTTTCTTCAGACTTCGCTATTGAACTGAAATCTGTGCTTTGAAAATTATCTGCGTTACTTTCATTGCTCATCACTAAGTACCTCACGCCTAGAAATGCAACGTTCGCCATTTACAGCAGTCTCAATTCAGCCGCGAGCGAGGCTTTTTTGTTCCCATCAGAAATTTCATGGGCGTCGGAGTTTCCTCTAAAGTTTAACAAGCAAAGTACGTTCTTGTCCATGGAAGACAGATTTCCACAGACGTCAGGTGGGCCGGGCATTGTGTATTCGCGCTGCTGGCTGCCAACAAGACCGCCATTTCATCGCGATCTGCGCGACACGCATTCCCATGACAACCAACAACATTGAACAGATGAGATGAGTCCTGTAAACGTCCAGTGCGTGTTTCTTATCCCGCAGGCCTAGGCACACGCAATATACGTAATTGCTGCGTTTGCAGAGTCGAACTGGAAGAATCTGGATAGAAGGGTCCCGGGTGTAGTCAGTGAAAAGGGATGAGAACTGGAGAGACAGACAACTGCCGGCTAGACTCGCGTAGGAAAAAAGATTCTACTTTGCTCCTAGGACAGTATGACCGGTCAAATTGATGGGAACGAACATTTTCGTTTTGAACACTAACGCAATTTACAGCGCCACCGTCGGAACTTGATATCGATTATTTTATGCATCGCAAGAACGGTGCACTAGGTCACTCAGGCGTGTGACGGTCATTGGCCATCGCAGATTAAGCAGATAATGCCGAGAGCCGACAGTTACTTCGCACTGAAACACGACGAGTCGGCAGCGGGGGTGACTACCGACAGAGGCCGGGATGCGAGGTCCATTCAAAGGACAATGTGACGACAACTTACCCTCCTGCCTGCCTCGTTGTTGTGGAGGTTCATGAGGCTCCGTCCCTGCTCTCTGGACCCTCGACGATAATTCTTCTCCCGTTCACGAACATCAACGAACCCCTGAGTGAATCTGCAACACACATTGCATCACTTTCTTCATAATATGGATGCAAAGCGTCTGGCAACGAAGTGAAGTGGCGATGGAAAAAAAAATTGCATGGTTTGGAGAGGATGACTGTCTTCCGAGATGTCGCGCCGTGTAATCTCAGAGAAACAGACAGACGTTTCAAAGGCACCTACTGACTCCACCATCAGGGTGATGAGGCCGTCAAGAAAACGAGGAGTGGGTCACCTACTGGAAACGTCACTCGGAGACATTTCTTAAAATCACACGCCGAATGAAAAGTCGTAATAAGACAAGACGAATGATGAATTTGGAATTCAAGCGGAAGGGAATGAGGGCCCCGACAGACTGACTTACGCCCAGAATCAAGTTGTCATCTCCAATAGCCGGGTAACGATTGTAACGGACGATAAGTTCCATTCTAAAATAACATCTCGTTTACAGATCAGCGTCGATTTTGCGGCGGCAACTGACGCAGAAATAGTTACTCGACAGCAGCGTCGCACTGGCTACAAATGACCATCAAGCAAGTTAAGAAAGCGGACTCACCGCTCTGAAAACATCAAATCCTACTTATCCTCAAGCTGCCTGCACGCCACTGGCTACGAACAAGTGTTAATGGTACGTAAGGCGAGGGGAGTCCCCCATACCGCGTTACATCACCGACGTATCATGAGCTCTTACTTGTCTGCAAAATCTTAGATCCCTCACCGCTTGGAGACAATGGCGGGGAGAGAACTGAATGGCGTTGTGGAGGGGCCGTTCTCACATGAGCGCTGTCGCCCCAAGATTAATTTGTTACACGCATCGCGTTGATTACAAATAAAAGTACGCCTACCCGTAAAATCAATAAAGCTGTGAGACACTTTGTAGCCCAATGGTACGTGCATCCTCTGCATTACTAATTCTGTGAAGGGCAGTCTGTGCTCAGAAGCTGCTAGTCGATACGCTGGCCATTAAACTCCATGCCTTATATGGAATTAGAATTTTATTACCGCCCGATTAGTTCAATCACTTGCACAAGGAGCGTAAATTAAAATCACGTGCTCGGCGCCGTGTAGACTAGTCGGCAGAGGCCAACGTTTCGGAGGAAGAACATCATCATCATCATCAATGCAGTAAAACCTAAAAAAAACCTCAACATCAAGATGAATCTTAAATAAACAGGGTGGAAGAATCTGGACTGGATTCCCGTGACTGGAGATAGATTCGGTGGCGGGTTCTTGTGAACACGGCAATGAACCTTCGGAATCAAGGATGCGCGGGTGATCCTTTGGCCAGCTTCTCGAGGGCCCTGCTCCGTCGAGGCAGGCGCCGAAGGCCCGAATGTACCTACTTGTAGCCGTACTCCAGGTTGTCGCCGCATCCTCCCCAGATCCAGTCCCGGTTCAAATCCCGAGGGCGACCAGTGCGTGAACACCCACAGGAACTGAGCTGGCCGTCTCGGCACGCCCGTGATATAGCGTGCACTACGCCGGCAGCACCGATGGCGTGCGCAAAGGCCGCTTCCCGACTGGCTGAAACACACACCGGACTTCACGGAAGGCACAGCGATAATTATATTAATGTAGATTGGGGACTAACCGTTTCGAATCTTTGAAGCTGAAGCTCGTCTAAATAATACTTACGAATACAGTCCGTACCGCAAAGAAAGCAACACACTTTTCTCGTACAGAGACCCATAAATACGGGATTCACAGTTGGTTATTGTTACAGTAGGTGGCAGATACAACTCCCGCTGGGCTTTAAAGGGTTAGGTAAATAATCCCCGTTCATATTCTGAACATACATGAAACACTTGAATGCAAAATGCAGAGTTATCGATTGTTAGAGCAGGTGGGACCTACTGACCAGTAATAAGTCCTGCTTACGTCATTCTTAGAGAATACTTCCAATGAAAATCTCGAGTTATCTCACGAAAGTTTACGGTTTGCCGGCGAAATATTTGAACAACGTTTTGGACGAAATCCACCATCAGACAGAACATCGACAGGTCTTTTGCGCCAACCACGAAAAGGCCCTAAGGAATTCCCTTAACATTTTCCAACCAGAACTGAGTGTGTGTGTGCTGCATGCACCGCCCATCTCATCCTACATAATACTTGAATCGCTCATTCTAGCAACACAGGTCAATGGGGAGGGGTGCAAACTGCGAAGATTCTCTATGTGTAAATTTCTCTGTCCTTCCTTCCCTTAACATCATCAAGAGATGTCGATTTGGCGATTAAATTTTATACGTGTCAGAATAATAAAATGGCACAAGTCGGCAGAACGTCACTGAGCACCTGGTACGAACAGACGCACACAGAATAAGCGAATAAACGGGACTCAAAGCAACACCGGGGAAAAGTGGAATGAATATCGTCTCTGTAAGACTTCCAGGAAAAGTCTGTGCCGTGGAGGAGCGAATAACATGACAAGAATTACGAGAGTAAATCGAGAATGAGCCGTAGAAATACCGAGGCGGACGTAATTTGTCACACTCGCACACGCTGAGCAAGAAAGTGGAGTTGAAGACGAAGGGCCGGTACTCTGCGGGGGGCAAAACTTAACACTGCGTCATTATTCAACATTCAACGCCGGTTCGCTACAAATCAATGACTGCTCTGAACATTTCGAGTCGTAAATATCACGGGTAATGACCGCTACTAATTGAATACACGACTCGAAGACGGCTGGGGAGTCCAGGCACGTAAAAGTGCGTAACGAAGGGCACGTAAAATCACACGGGCGATTCGACGTGTAAAAACAGTAAACGAGAGAAGACAAACAGCTTGAGAAATTTTGTTATGCCACGGAGTTTACGATTAACAACGCAAATGTACACACTTGTTCATGATCATCATTCTACAAATAAAAAGTAATTCTACAAGCTACGACTGTGTCGTTCCATACGCATTTCCATTCCAAAACACAATGAGCATTTAGTTTTCATTAATATTTATTTATTTAGTGTTCTGTCTGACGACAGGTCCATATGAACAGGATCCGTCCATCCTTTTCTCGGACTGGGACCTGTTCATATACGTTCTTGGCAGATGATCCAGAAGTGGTTTGCCATTGCCTTCTTCTGTGTGTGAATGGAGTAATTGTTGGGATGCAACGGAGGAAAACTCCGTGTTGCCTAGACCACGGCCTCGCCCAACACAAGTTATAAAGTCGGCCACCGCCGGGAATCGAACCCGAGA